TCACAATTATCATAAAGAACAACTCATTCAAACCTCAGTAAAGGAAAAAAATCCCACCATTTATAACATGAAAGAATCCTGATATGATACATGAAATAAGTCAGATACTTATCTCATGGGATGAAGCAATAGCACAGTGGGTAGGGTATTTGCCTTGCATGTGGCTGACCCGGCCGACCAGGGTTTGATTCCTCCACTCCTCTTGGAGAGCCAAGCAAGCTACTGAGAGTATTTTACTCGTGACGTATTCGATATGCCAAACACAGGAACAACAAGTCTCACAGTGGAGACGTTACTGGGCCCGCTCGAGCAAATGGATGAACAACTGGAGGAAAGTACTACTTATTTCATATGATAATACCCATATATCACATGATAATACCTATATGAAGAATCTAATATGGTCAGACTTATAGAAGTAAGGAAGGTTGGTGGTTTCCAGGGTTGAGAACAGAGATAAATGATAAGATATGAATTTTATGAGATGAATAAGGCCATCTGTTCAGTATATCTATAGTTAATAATAGCACATTACATACTTGAAATTTTGAAATGAGATCAAATCTTATTTATGTCAAGTGTTCTTATAACACACAAAAATGATAATTGTGATGGAAGAAAGAAAGTTTTTGAGGTTATAATTAGGTACTATAACTATTATTAGTACTGACTGGGTGATCATTTTATGAATGTGTACTTACCTTAAACTACCAACTTATACACATTATGTGCAACTTTTTGTAACTCCTAATTTTTTAAATTAAGTTTTAGAAACAACTATATAACAAATTTACTAAAATTTAAGTTGTATTGCATTTTTTCATAGTATTTAAGAGAACCATTTAAATAATTTGATAATGAATCTTTCTTGTAATTCTTTATTAATCTACTTTTCTGCCAAACCCTTGCATAGGAAAAATGTTTTATTAAAGGAGAGTACAGGCTTACTTCCACAGGTAATGTTCAGGGAGCAGGGAACCAAATATTGACTCATTTTCAAATATATGCTCCAGATTGCCCTTGACAATGGCCCAAATTACATATAAAGCCCCAAGTGATGGCAACTTACCATAGAATCAACTTTGTACAGGCACATGTGGTACAATTTTCATCTTTCAGATTTACCATATCTGGACCTTTGATGTGTATTCTTGGCTTTTCCCTCTCTGGAGAAACCCATGTTACCTCTTGAACACCATGAATCTCTTCCTCTCTTCTCTCCTTTCATATTTTTCTCAGAAAAATTTTCTAAATAAAACTATTTTACTTGAAAAATAAAATGCTCAGAATTTTAAAAAGACTAAAGCCATCATCCGTCCCTCAATTTGTATTTAAAGTTTAAAAAGATTGGTAATTGGTAAGTTGAAAATTAATTGATATTCACATAAAACCAAGCTCTGGGAAGAGAACAACGCAGAGTCTCCTACCCCGGCACCTGGCTGTCCTCACCGGGGCCCCGTGAAGGGCGGTGGGTTGAGTTTCCCTCCCTGCCCCAAGCAGAGCCCTGGCAGCTGAAGACCTCCAGGACTCAGTCACAGCCATGCTAAGACCTCTTTCCACACGCTCGGACGAGCCTCACACATGAAGGAAACAGCAGAGGAACCCAGGTGTGTGGGATCTGGGACTGAGATCTCCAAGCCTGCTTGGAATGGTACTGGGCCTCCTTCACCCAGATCCCCCCATCTTCCAGTAGCTAGAAAGTTACACCCACCAACTGCCCCTGCTGTGTAATCCCATCAACAGCCAAGATCCAGAGTCTATAAAACCAAGCTCCCGGAAGTGACCTCTTATTGTCTTGTTCTTGCTCTCAAAGAACCCGACAGGCTACTGAGAGTATCCTGCCCGCATATATGACTGAAAACATCTGAAATGGTGATTAGAAGCTGCCCCAAAAGCCTCCATCCCTCTCAGAGAGCCCGGCAATCTACCAAGAGTATCCCGCTAGCATGGTAGAGCCTGGCAAGATACCCGTGGCATACTTGGTATGCCAAAAACAGTAACAATGATGGTCCTCATTCCCCTGACCCTAAAAGAGCCCCCAGTATGCCATCGGGCTACACTAGCATGTGACAAGGACAAATGGGGACATTACTGATGCCCACTCGAGCAAATCAATGAACAACGGGATGATAGTGATAGTGATAGTGATTCACAAAAGGAGACATATTTGGTACGTCCTCCAATTACATGCTCTCTTTCTTTCATGCTCATATATATACGTATATATATATATATATATATATATATATATAGTTTTTGGACACATAATGGATATAATATATATATCTGTATTTTTGGATATGATGTGTGTGTGTGTGAGTGTGTGTGTGTGTGTGTGTGTGTGTGTTTGGACCACACCTGACGATGCTCAAGACTTAACTCGTGACTCTACACTCAGTATTACTCATAGCGGGCTCATGGAAACATATGAGGTGCTGGGAACCATTCCTCATTGGTCACATGCAAGACAAATGCCCTACTCACTGTACTACAGCTACAGCCCTTTCCTTCCTACTCTTGACACCTAGTTTTCCTTCCACATTTGGCAGGGAGGGCATACCCACTGGTGCTCAGAGATCACTCTGGTCATACTTAGGGGATGTAACAAGACAAACGTCTAGTTGCAGAGCATCTGGGCTATGTCTCAAGATTACTTGCTCTTTGTTGTCTCTTCCCTTGAAAGCAGAGGCCCCGTCCTATGCCTTAGCTCAGAATAGAGGAGAAAAAAAATACTAGATGATCTCACTCATGTGATAAATAAACAAAACAAGTGAACAGAGAATATCTAAAGAAAACAAACCATAACCATAGAACTGGGTTTATCACGGTGTGTGTGTGGGGGTGGGGGGAGGGAATGTATATGTGGTATGTGTGGTGTGTGACAGAGAGTAGTGGTATGCTGAAAGATCGAAAAGTTCAATGGGAAATGTTAGCACTCTGGAGATGGGTGTGTTAGGGAAATAGTGATCCACTAGAACATATAACCGTTTACACTTTTATTATCTAATGTTTCAGATATAACCGTTTACACTTTTATTATCTAATGTTTCAGATATTAGATCAGATATTAGATCGCTGGAGCGATAGCACAGCGGGTAGGGCGTTTGCCTTACACGCGGCCAATATGGCCGACCCAAGTTCGATTCCTCCGCCCCTCTCGGAGAGCCCGGCAAGCTACCGAGAGTATTGGATATGCCAGACACAGTAACAACAAAGTCTCCAATGGAGACGTTACTGGGCCCGCTCGAGCAAATCGACGATCAACGGGAGGGCCTTTACCTTTACCTTTAATGTTTCAGCAATAAAATAAATTTAAATATAACCTTCATTTACTCTGGTTTACTCTAGAATTTATGTAATTAAATTTGACCTTTACTCCACCTAATCTGATGTCAATTTGATTGCTCCACTAGTTCAAGAACTATGAGCCAATTAGCTCCTGTACCTCTTTTCCCTCAGCTATTCATATATAAAACTGTAATGAAGCAATATATTTTAATATTTAAAAGCTATAAAATGAAGTTATTTATAATGTATTCTCATATCAGTTTATCACTGAATATAATATCGATGTCTAATTCTTATATTTTAAATATGTACTTCTGACATATTTTATAAGATATGTATAATATTTTTTAAGACATACTATAGCTTCAAAATTTATTATACCCTGTTGTTATAAGTATGGTTATTTTTTCTTTATATCATTCTATATGTTAAAATTGTCAATCTCAATATTTTCACCAAATTAGTGTGATAAAGCTCACACACTTTCATTACTATTGTCATATGATGCTATGTATACATATAATTTATACTTGACCCCTTTTAAATTGTGAGTTTTTGGAAGCTGGATAATTCTAATTGCTAAATATGTTCAGGAAATGCAAATCTCAAAAAGAATTCTCCCATATACTGTAGCCTACAACACAGGCTGTGTCTTAGAAAAAGAAAACACGGCTATACTTGTCAGCATGTTATGAAAAGGTGAAGTTAAATTACCAAGCAGATGTTTCACTTAGTGTTTTCAATAGGGTCTCAGGATTTACTCAAGATTAATTTCTTTTTGTTGTTGCTGTTATTATATATTGTTTTTCCATCCATTCCTTATAAAGTATAAGGACTGCCACAAAAGGGTTTATATTCACTTGTAAAATATATTGATCTTTATTGAATTTATCATTATTTAGATGCTCTCAGAATTAATCAAAACTGATAGCAAAGAAACTTTTTTTGGTATTTTCCTTGACATTTCTTTATTTTTTCTATCAGACTCATTTTTATCAAATCATTAATCACTAATTAGAAAGTATCACCTTCTGATACTGTCACTGTCACTGTCCTCCAATTGTTCATTGATTTGCTCGAACAGGCCCAGTCACATTGTGAGACTTGTTACTGTGTTTCGCATATTGAATACATCACTGATAGCTTGCCAGGCTTTGCCATGTGGGCTAGATACTCTTGGTAGCTGGCCGGGCTCTCCAAAAGGGGCGGAGGAATCGAACTAGGGTCGGCCCTGTCGGCCGCATGCAAGGCAAACACCCTACCCGCTGTGCTATCGCTCCAGCCCTGATACAAATTTCAAATACAGTCTGGAAATCTAAATAGAAATATTTCAATTTCATGTAAAAATTCTATTTGACTTTCAAACTGATTGCTCATAATTGTCCATTCTGAGCCCTGGGTCCCTATTTCAGAATGCTCAGGGTCCTAATAACCATTGGTTTCAGGTATACATTCAAGACACTTGTTCCACAGTTTCACTGAAGCCACCTCTAGTCCATGTACCAAAAATCACTCCCGCTGTTTGTGGTATTTTGGCATAAAGTGAATTTTGGCTTGATGAAAGCCATGGAGTGGGGGAATACTCATTCTTTCTACAACAACTATAAGACAGTCATCTTCATACAGTACAGGAGAAGCTAACAGTGTTTTAAAGAAACATCAGTGCTGGTACCTTAAGTAAGTATCCAGTGGAACTATCACTATTCATTTACCTGGATAATATCGGGCGAGGCCCGTGGCACTGCCGAACACTTGCCACAGCAATGTGGGATCCTCCCGTTGATTTCTTTTGAAGACTTCATCTAAGGCACTTGTCCAGTTCAGTTCATTTAACACGATTGTCGCTAATGATAAAAAGGGAGAAAAATTAGTTAACATAAACGAATCCTTGAAAATTCAATCTGCATTTCCTTATGAAACATTACATACTTTCATTGCTTTTTTTTCTATAAAAGTTCATCAATCCAGTGGCTATCAAAAACTTTTAGACCTGTCATGATTGCTTCATATTTTTCTATGAATATACGTATTTTTCTTTGAATATACGCTGCATGATAATTTGGACCAGGAGATGTCTTTGTGATGGGGCCAGTTCCAGGAACCTGCTTAGTTTATGCCCTGGAGCCTGCTTAGCTGCATCTCTGCCTTCGACCCACTAGGTGTCAGTACTGCCCCCTGTTTTTGACAAGCAAACCTCTCTGGACACTAGGAAGTTCCCCGGGGGACAAATTGCTCCCTGCTGAGAAACACTGTGATTTGGGAAACAGGAAATAGCTCTGGGAGTTAGGAGTGAGAAGTCTTCTTTCCCGATAGGCAGACACCCATAGGACACCATGGGGACAGTTTGAACATTACAATCCTCAACTCCTGGTAATTCTCTATAGAAGGATAACATAAAAATGCTTTGCTGTTGGGGTTAAGAAAGAGGCTGGGGGTGCGGGGAGCAGGGAGAGTGGCCAGAGTGAAGCTGGAGATATTGGTGGTGGAAAATGTACACTGGTGGAGGGATGGGTGTTGGAACATTGTATGACTGAATCCTGATCTTGAACCATCTTGTAACTATGTATCTCACAATGACTCAATTAAAAAAAAAACAAGAAAAAAAAGAAGAAAAGAATAAAGAAACAGTTTTTTTGTACTGGAGCATAGTTTTATTAATCATGTTTAAATAGCAATGATATATATTTATATATATTAGTACAAGGTAAAAAGTTACTTGAAGGCCTGACAAATAAAGGAAATTAGAAAGAGGAAGCTGCTGATATTTTATCACTATATTGAATCTTCTAATTTTTTTCTGGTTAGCTCAATTAATAATATAACATGGCACTAATTGTTGCCTGGCCACTGATTTTGATACCTATCTATAACTAATGACTGAGTTAAAGAGGTATTACAAGTGAAAGCCTTCATTAAAAGAAGTCATAAACTTCAGACATGAGTGGAAATACTACATAATTATGAACCTCTATAATCGTAACAACCCCTATTTAATATATTTATTATTTTATTAATTTTTGTTTGTTTGGAGGCTACACCCAGTGGTGCTCATGGCTTATTTTTGACTGTCAGTCATCACTCCTGGTGGTATCCTGGTTACCAAATGTAGACTGAGCAGGGATTACACTAGAGTCAGCCATGAGCATGCCACGTACATTAACCCTCGTATTATCTCCTGGTTCCAACATTTTTCATTTTCTCCAAATATTATTTCATCCTTAGTAAAAGATTATCCACAAAAGTTCTCTTCAGGGTCAAAATGGTAGTATAGCAGGCAGAGAGGGTGCTTTCCTTGCATGCGGGCAACCTGGGTTACATATGTGTCCTGAGCACTGCCAAGGTAATTCCTGACCACAGAGCCAGGAGAAAGCTTTCAGCACTGCAAGTGCGCTCCCCATCCGCCAAAAAATTAGAGTCCTCACAGAACAGCACTCTCTCTCTCTTTGTTTTTAATATTAAAAAATCTATACCATATCTAGGCGAATGGCAGATTTGGCTATTTTGCATTTGGCATTGTTTACCAACCTAAACAAATGCATATGCCCTTGAGATAAATGTGCTGGAGATTCTGCTACACTTCTATTTTTCTTTCTTTGATCACAGCACATAAAATAAACAAATGCAATCACAAGTTTTTTTTAAGGGAAAAGAAAGGAGAACTACTATCAAGAAATATGCACAGCATATGTTGTGTTGATATTTTAAAGTTAATCATTCACAAAAATAATGAAAACAAGGGGATTGTGAAATTGTTCAGAGGCCAACTTCCTTAATGCATTTTTCATTATTGAAAACTAACAAGATTTCCATCTTTATAGACGTGATTACTTTCAGAAAGATCAGTTGTGTGTATGTGAATATTCATGAGCTGGGTCAGATCCATAGTGCCTCTGAGCTACCAGTGAATTCATATTCAAAAGCATGATCCAATGAACACTGAGTGGCCAGTTATATGAAATTTATATTCACACCAATACCCTCAACTAATACTCATTATTCATGAATATTTATAATAATATACAAAGCATCACAGAAAAAGAGGGACATCATACCTTTTCTTTAAGCATTCATGAATTTTACAGTAATATTTCTAGAAACAAATCATCATGTTTATTTATGATACAGATAGATTTCATTAATCTCTAATCTATTCTAAATATTTCTTCAATTCCTTGACTCTTTAATTTACATTAAGCAACTGCTGATATCTATTTTAATAAAATTTTCTTTTCAAATATGCTAATTTTTCAATTTTATCTGATAGCTAAACAATTAGCATTCGGCTGCCAATTTCTACTTTTATATGCTAGGAAAAAGTCAAGCTCTGAAATATATTCACGATGGAGCTGTTTTAAAATTTTCAATATATACATTTGAAAAAAGTCTCTCACAGAGAAGTCATTATGCAAGTAAATTTCTAAATGCTTTTCTTGAAATCAATTCATCTGTAAATGAGCAAAGTATAGAAAACATTTGCAGAATTGAGTTAGGAATATGGTTCAAGTGTTGCATATGCAAGGCTTTGAGTTTGACACTTAGAACCACTTGCGTTGCCACTGACACTCAACTTCACCCAGAGTAGCTCTTGTGGCCCCTATATTCATCCAATTGTGAGTGCCATACCCACAGGTCTGCACGTCCATACCCCACCATTTCCAGGATAGCCCCTGCTCCTTCTGATCTTCAATCTTCCACTGGGTGAAGCTCTTATTAAAAAAAAATGTGTAGACTAAGTACTTGAAAACCAGTTATAAGCCTGATGAAAACAGGTATTTTCATTTTCTCTTGTGCAATTTTTGTTTCTGTTTTTGAGTCACACCTGGTACTGCTTAGGGCTTACTCCTGGCTCTGCATTCAGAGAACACACCTAACAGTGCTCAGGGAAACATATACAGTGCCAGAGATCAAAACCAGGTTGGCTTCATGCGAGGTAAGTGCCCTAACCACTAAACTTTTTCTCCAGTCCTCTCTTGTGAATTTTGTTTTGTTTGGAGGCCACACATGTAGTGCTTACTCCTGGCTCTGGATTTGGGATCAGAGGAGCTATATGGGGTGCCAGAGATCATCCCAATCCACCACGTGCAGGGCAAGAGCCTTCCTTGTTCCTATTGGTCCTTTCTTGTGCATATTTGAGTGTAATCATGATGGTTGTTTGTGTATTCATAAAATGAGTAAGAAGTCACAGCTCTCTCTCGCCTCCTGTGATCCGCAGTGCCAGGGCCACTTCCCCACCTGGGATGGCCGATGCCAAGGGCAGATGAAGGAGGAAGCGAGAGCCAGGCTGGCTGGTGATCAGCTGCAGTTTATTTTATTTCCCACGCGTCTGTTCCAGTCTCACTAAGCTCCCCATTCCAGTCTCACTCTGTCCTTCATGCTAGTCTCCCTGCCTCCGACTTGCCATCCTTGCCCTCATCTCTTCTCTAGTCTCTCATATCCTCAAAACTTCAGCCTAAGCAGCCACACCCAGGTCTGGTAGCACAATCAACCTATCAAAGTCCCTTTTAATTGCCTGCAGCCAGGAGATCCGCTCAAGGGTAAATACCACCTATGGGGGTTTCTCCTTTCCTTAGTCCAATAACCATTTAAACATTCATCTTATTCTACCTCTTAATATTAGTCATTTTGATTTTGTATAGACACAGTAAAAGATACATTAAACTTGTAGGGTGGCTCTCCTGGGGACATCTCACTCTAGATCCCAGACTACAGTGCTTAGGCAGTTTGAATTTTCCTAACACTAGCAACAACTACTCTAGTTGTTGCTTTTTGGATCATGATAGAATGTGTCCATGACTATGCTCTTAATTTATAGTTAAGTATTATGAGCTTGGCTTGACCCATTTTGATGCAGGGTAGCTAACAGCTTGTTCTGGGTCCATCCAGTTCCTCGTCAGGACCCTGCTCTTGGGGTGCTAGGAACTAAGGGCAACTGAGGCTTAACTTGAGAGAACAGATGCTCAGGAGTGAATATTATTTGGAGCCAATTAACTTCCATGTTACAAAAACATGGCACTGACTGTCTTCCTGTGTCTATATAAAAAGAACATTGCTCTGAATTAACTATGCGAAGGACATAAGGACAAGAGAAAAGCAATATTTACTTTTTTACAAGTTAACAGAGTATGATCAGAAGATAAAGGTGATTGAAGAAGCAGAGCAAAAAAACAGAGGTTACAGATAAACACAGAGGAATGGGAGTGCCTCGGGAGCACTGTAAAGGGTGCAACCCAATAAACCTAAACTCCCTGTGGCAAGACAGAAAGGACAAACTAATGTTATCCAACAGTTAGTCACAGGTTTCTTATTTTTTTTAATCAGAATGTGCAGAGAAAATAATAATAATAATCAAAATTTATAGCATCCACTGTCTGTATGCAAAACTTATATAGTCTCCTAAGAGGGCAATTTGGTTTTACCTGTCTTTCAAAATGCACATGTTCTTTGCTGCACCACTTCAAGGAATTTATACTATAAATAAAACATGAATCCCCAGTACTTAATTAGAGAATTTGAAAGTGAACGTCATTCATTCAATTACACCACTAATATATCATAAAAACAAACAAAAAAACCCCCTGGGTCAAAGAGAGAGTACAGTAAGACATATTCTTTGCATACAGCTGATAAATTCCACCCCCACCCCAAACAAAAACACATATAGACTCATCAGCACTGCCAACAGTGATCTCTAAGCACAGAGCCAGAAGCAAGCCCTGAGAACTGCCATGTGTGGTACCACAAGCAAAACCAAATGCGCTGAAACACTAAAACCTGAAATAGTAAACTACTATAGTGGAAAGTCAACTTTGTTTAACATTTTAAAAGTTGCTACACTATAAAAGAA